TGGTGCTCGCTTGTGTAGACTGGCTGAGAGCAGTGACACCACCCAGTGACAGTTCCTGCCGGCTGTTGCTAGAAGTCAGGGTCCAGGCAGTTTTTCTCTGGCTTGTGGTTTTGTTCATGTGAGAATTTGGAGTTTGAGAGCTGACCTGTGGAGGAGCTTGTGAAATCTTGTCTTACAGATTGTGGACTGGAAAGTTGTGTTTTCCATAACAAGATGGCCCAGCTGCAGTTCCAAGCTGTGTATGGGAACTGCTGCCCCTTTGTCTTTGCCAGCGATTGGTCATTGCAGTCACTAGGGCCTTCAGAAAGTACTTCTTAGATTCCCCCTTTGTCAATGAAGGGAGGCCCAGAAATCTTCATTTTTCAGAAAGAAACCTTGTAGGTGACTCATGATCAGATGGGACTGAGCCCCTGGTCCATACCATGCCCCTCCCCTCTATTGGGTGGGATAGACTTACCTTCTGTGACCACGAAGGGGGTCAGCTTTCTGACCCACCCAGGATGTCTGGGTAAAGACCCCAGAGAGTAGGGCCATAAGAGCACAGGTCCACATACCTACTCTGTCGCTTCCTGACCCTGACACTTCAGCTCTTTAAAACCTTGACAGCCTCACCTGTGAGGAAGGTGTGACCACCTGCAGGGAGGCTGTGGGGATTCCTAAGGCCTGCTGAGGGCTGGTATGCAGTTGGTGCTCACAAGTGTGTTAGGGCAGTGTGGATGTTGGCTAGTGCCAGAGAGTTGTTATAGAGGGTTTCCAGATGCCTCCCACAGCCACTGTGAACTGGGCCAGAAGACAGTGGAGGGAGGGTTCCATTCGGTGGTAGATGGATTCTGAACCATCCAAGTAAATGTTCTTGGAGAGTTTGAGGATGTGACCAGAAGAGCCTCAGATTCTATGGACACTTGGACATAGAGAGGTGTCTCGTTCTCAAGCAAGAAACATCTGATTTCTTAGCTCAAAGAGGGTGAGGCATTATTTACTTGGATGTGATGGCATGGAACATTCTAGTATGAAAAGAAATACCAGAGGCTTAAAAAAATACAATTTATAATCCTTTCATGATTTGGCAGGTAATTATGATAATCCCTGGGATTTTCACAGATTTAAAGCTTTTTCAACCACATTATTTTTGGAGATCATCTTCCCTGATACTCCAGCTGGAAGAGATTTCTCATTCCCCTAAACCTCCCAAGGCATCATCTTCCAAGTCTCAACTTAAATGTCACCTTCTGGAAGACACTGTCCTCCGTCTTCTAGGCTAGGGCTACTAAATAGATGTCATGTGCTAGGCCAAGCCCCTGACTGATTGGTCACGGCTGCCTGGGGATCCTCTAAAGGAATATTGTGATGGATTAGTGCTGTCTGCCAAAGGGGCAGTCAGTAGGAATGTAGGGAACCCTGGGATAGTTAACCAGTCCCCTGTGAGCATTTAGGCAAGTTCTAGCCATTGGCAGTTGAATTTGTACTTTGAGTGCATGTGCAAGAAGACAGGTGACCGTGCAGCAGGGATTTGCTAAGCCAAAGACGGAGACTTCCAAACATTGATAGATATTGAGCAGCCTTGGTACTCAAACTCCTTGCATATCTCTACCTTCTTCTCTCTAGCCAGAGGATGAAATCCAAAGGGCGACTCATAGCCTGGCACCTTGTCACCTGATCGGTTGTGTACCTTCCTGGCACAGCTGAGGGCCACATCTTCCTCTAGCCTCCAGTTCCCCTCGGGCCTTTCTGAGAACCGGGTCTCCATGCCTCACCCTTTGGCTCATCCTGGGTGCTGGGAGCTGTCAGCCATGTTCATTGTCTCTCCACCTGGCTTTGGCTTTTGATTTGTCACTGTCATTGGTGTTGATAAATGGCACTTCCTTCCTAAATATTTTCAGGGTAATTGCCATGGAACAAAACCACTAAGAGCAGAAAGAGACATGAACCTCAAACTGGCTCTGAGCATTGACGATCCAGAACATGTGTCTGGTGGGGATGTAGGGAGGGGTCTGTCCCTGGAGGCTGTGTGGCACACGAAGCACATTAGATGGTGACTCCTGAGTGTCTCTTGGAGAGCCCTTCTGTGACACCCCTCTTCCCTCAAGTGGCTCTGTCGTGATTTGTCTGACCAAATGTAACAGGTTGTGAATTGTGTGGTTCACTTGAGAACCCGGCCTGGCAGATGGTTAGCAACTCTGCGACGTTCTTGCTTTGGGACAGTGAGTTTCTCCACAGCCACCCAGCTCCCTAGTGTGGTACATCCTGGTTGGGAGGCACGATCTCTGGGGAGGGCCCTTTTCCAGGTGATCTCTAGAGACCTGCTTCTTGGTCTCCTCTACCATGTCTCCGACATCAGTACCCGTTGTGGAAAACTGCTCCTGTGCTCAGCATTCACCCTGCCACACCTGTGAAATGCACTCTTGTTTCCTCTGCATGGTGGCCCAGTGAGGCCAGAGTGGAGTTTGATCCCCATTTTGTAGATGATGAGCTTCAGGCTTATGGGGGCTCCCTGTCTTGCACCAAGCACATTGTCAGTAGTCAAATGGGCCCAGTCCTGTCTCACACCAAAGCTTGACCTTACCCCCCTCTCAACTTCCTGCCAGCCTCTGGTACCTGCCTTTGCACCTACAGTTTCCTCTGCTACCTGGTGACTTCCTGGACCTTAGCGTGAGTATGGAATTCGCATCCTGTAGGGCTGAGTGACATTAGGGAGACACTGAGAGCAACAGGTGGGATTGAAGAGAGGAGTTAGGATTTCATCCTTAGGGTGGGGAAAACATTGAAGGTATTGAAAAAAAGGTGACAATATGAGATGTGACTTTGGAAGAACACTGCTACTTGGGGCAGAGTGGATAGGAACAACCTATTCTCTCTGTAACCCATTTCCTGCATTTCTCTCTGGCCATTGCAAATAAGATGATCACAGGAGACCCGTGTGTGCCCTGCAAGCTAGATGAAAATTTCAGGTGGCAGTGGTTTTTCAGCCTACTGGGAAGTACTTGTGATCTCCGAGGCGTCTCTTAGTCTTGAATTTGTTTCTAATTGTGCTAGAGTTTGGGGATGATTATTTGAGAAACAGGGAGCTTCATGGTTTATGTAAGAGGAAGGCTGTTTATTCCAGTGACTGACTACAGGAACACGCAGTAGAGAAGCTCAGTTTTGGAGGTGGGCTTGATGCCACAGCTTCATGATGAAATTATTTCATCAAGTTATGTCTTCTCCGGTGCATTGGGTCCCTCCCTCATTGCCCAGTGAAATGGGTGTTTGAATGTGGTCCAGTCCATCTTCTGGCTGCAAAAGGGAACCTGGGTTTTGAAAGCTCATGACAAACAGCACCTGAACCTGGAACATTCGATGTTTCGTGCATTGATGAGCAGCTGCGGCAGCACTCTGTTCCCCGCCAAACAATGCAGAGGCAAGACTACAAAACTGTCTTTGCTTTGGGAATGACAGTGACATTTATTTAAACTGGAACTTTGTGGGGCCCATTAACAGGTGTTTGTGTGCTCCTGGTGGCTGTGTACTAAGTGGATCATAGCCCCGAGGAAGCTCATGGAGGGTTTGTGTGATTCTTATGTGAGGATTCACTCAGATGTTATTAGAGATGCAGTATTTGCTTGTTAAAGGCTGAAAGAGGATCGGATCGACCTAAGCTTTCCTTATACAAAAGGAGTAAGGCAACTGGGAAATACTAATTTTTGGTCTTTACAAAGAAAAAAGCTGGTGAAATGGCTCAGTGACGTTGTTTCCCGTGGCTAATCGCACGCTTCTTGCACTCTCTCTGGGCAATTTTCACTTAGTGTTGCACATAGTTTGGGGGGACACCTTGGAACAAGGGAGTGCGTTGGAGTTAACGTAAGTGTCCCAGGGACAGGAGTTGGATACATTTTGTGCTGATGGCGCAATGGCTCTTTTGTTTCAGGTGAGGAACGTCTGACTCTCTTAAGGAGTTTAATTCTTTAGAGTTTCATTGGGATAAACAAGAGAGAGTGCTCATGGCTGAGAAACCAAAGGAAGGAAAAGTAGAGAATGGGAGGGAAACGCCCTGAGGCAGACCCCGGTGCCCCTCTTTCCCTCTGTGCCTTTTGCCCTTAGTGTGAGGGAGAAGCAGAAGGGAGGCCTCCCTCTGTTGCTCCAGGGGAGACCCGACTTAGTGGCCCCGACTGTCCCCCACAGAGCTGCTCCCTTCCTCATTCCCACAGTGGGTTTGTATCTCCCATAACCTACCCCAAGAGGCCCGGCAGCCCTGTGGGTGAGCACTCCTCAGTCGGTGCTCAGGTCTCTGTCCAGGGAGCTGAGCTCTTGGGCAGGCAGGGCAGTTTGGAGAAGTTCCCCTGCTAACCGCGGGCCTGAAGGGTGCATCTGGGCACCATGCAATGGCAGGATCATAGCCCACAGCCAGGGCTCTGGTCTGCCCTTTGCCAACAGCATGACCTTGAGCAAGCAGCTTAGACTCCTGATATGCAACTTTTCTTTCTGTGATGTGGGAGTAGCAGTATCTGCCTCCCAGAGCACCTGTGGTGCAGCCAGGAGGCACATGTGGCGGGGTTATCCTGACATGCAATTGGCAGCGACTGGGATATAGTTGTGCACTGGCTGTTGTGTCCGTCACCATAGTTGGCACCACCCTAGAGAAGACTCTGGCTCTGCGTTCCTAGTTTTCAGAACGGTTGCAGTCACTCTTATTGTACTGTTAGTAGGGACATTCTGGACACACATGGCACAGCTTACGGAGAAAACACCTTTCTAGAAAAATCGAGCCTGTGTTCCAAGGTCTAGATATGGTTAGATACAGCCAGATTTTGACCATGAACTGTGGCCTGGCACCTCCAAAGTGTTAAAATCAAGCAAATCAAACCGTATTCTACTTTTGAGTGGATTTGCATATCTCATAGGTAAGCTGCGCCTCTAGCCCCAGCCCTGCTGAACCACAGCAGGAATAAGGACATAGGAGCGGGAACAGGCCATGGGGGAAGGTATGCCTCTGGGTGCTAAGGTGTTGTGCTTGTCTTTTTCAGGTGGCAGAGATGCATGGAGAGCTGATCGAGTTCAACGAGCGCCTGCACAGGGCCTTGGTGGCCAAGGAAGCTCTGGTGTCCCAGATGAGGCAGGAGCTCATCGACCTCCGGGGCCCGGTGAGTGCTCCCCGCTGGCGGGTCTAGCCTTGCCATCTGCCCTCCCTCCCCGTCTACTGGCCTGCATGGCCCACAGCCCCATTGATTTGTTTGGTGTGTGCATCACTGGTGGTGTCAAGGCTGTGGGAGAGCACAGACACTCCCAGAAGGCAGCTCCTTGTCCCCACTGTCCAGAGTGAACTACAGGACCCTGGGACCTCGCTCTTTCACGGGTGGGAAGAGGTGGAATACATGCAGTGGTTCAATTCTGCAGCCATGTGCCCTGTTCCTCTAACAGTCTGTGTTCTGACATTGGCACAGAGCCTTCCCCTCCAGGTTTTTATACTTTAGTACACTTATTTCCACGAGTAGCCTGGGTTTTGTGTTCTTTGCTTGACTCATGTGATAGTATGTGTCATATCTGTTTGTCACTTGTTTTTAATTCAGTATTGTGGTTTGAGGTATACATCCCATGTCCATCTAGCATGGGGATTTTTAAGCACAGCAGTGCTGATGCTTTGAATTGTGTGGTTCTCCATCATGGGGGCTGCCCCTTGCACTGGGGGTCCCTGGTTTCCACTCCCCAGAAGGCAGTAGCCTCACTTCCCCCTGTTGTGACAACCACATATGGCTTCTGACATTGCTTAGTGTCCCCCTAGGGGCACAGGCACCTCTGGTTGAGAAGCCCTGATCTAGTTCATTCACTTTGTGTTGAATGAAACACTGAAATATTTTTTATCCCGTCATAAGCTCATAGGTTGTTCCCTGCATTTTACTACTGAGACCCAATATTGTGAGCGGTCCAACACTGGTCCTTTGGTGCCCGCATGTAGCAGCTTCTTCATTTTAAAATTTATTTATTGTGTAAAATGGTTGGAGCCCACGGGGAGGTGAATAACTAGAATGCACTATTATATGTCCAATGTCAAGTGCAGCGGTTCTCGGTCATGGCCAGTCTTGTTTTAAGTTACTTATTCTTGCTTCCTTCTCTACACTGTAATATATATGTCCAAAACTAAGAAAACTTAAATACTCTATCATTATCACCTCCAATTACCAATAATTCCCATTCACCATTGAATATTGGTGTTTGAATTTCCAACCATTCCATTATTTCATAATTTTTTAAATTCAGGATCATATGAGGTTCACATATTATAATTGGCTGGTATGTCTCTTATGTGTCTTTGTCTTCCATAATTTAAAAAATTATGGTTAAAGAAAAAAATATATATATATATCATAAAATGCACCATCCTGACCATGTGTAGTTCAGCCCATCCCGTGTTATGCAGCAAACACCCCGTCTTCCAGCTGAAACCATCGCCATTAATCACCGACTCCCTCCTCCCCTAGAACTCGGTACCCACCGTTCTTCTGTCTCTGTGTTCAGCTGCTCCCTCGGGTTCCTCTTTGTGTCCTCCCTTATCTCTCTCCCTCTCTCCTTCCCTCTCCCTGTCCTCCCTCTCCCCTCTCCCCTTCCCACCTCTCCCCCAATCAGCTTGTTTGCTGAAGACACCAGGTCATTTGCCTCACAACTTTTACCCCCTGAACCTTGCTGCCGAGCCTCTGGTGCCACTGGACATGCTCCTTCCTATATTTCCTTAGGTTGGCACTTGGAACTGTAGGCTGAATTCAGGTTTAACTTTGCTGATGACACAGCCCCATCCTTGCGGTGGTGTTGTATGCGAGGAGAGGGTAAGGTCTGCTGTCCCTCTTTGTGATATTAGCAGCCCTTTATCATCACTTCCCAGGTTCATAGTACACCTGTTTCTCTAAGTGGCCAGGTGTGGAGTTGCCAAGCTTTGGCACGTGGAACTTTTTTGAGGTCCACCATCTTGTTAAGTAGACGCACCTTCGTGTGATCCTCCGGCTGTGCAAGATCTCTGCCAGCGCTCTTACACCCACCAGCGCTTGAGGGCGCGAGCATCTCAGCTGTATTTCATGGCCACAGGGAATTTGGCCACCCTTTGGTTTGCTGCTGCCTGTTTTGGTTTCCACTCTTGTGACTGGTTTTTCAACACTTTGCCCATTTTTCTCTTGGATTATTTGTTTCCTCCCTGACTCTTTGTGGATCTTTTCATTTGCGTGTGTTGTAAATATCCCCTCTCGGCCTTTGGCTTGATTACTCACTTTTAATCATGGTGAAAATTTCCAATATGCATTAAATCAAGGAGACTCATCTGAGGAAATCACATCCCCTTCAGGCAGCTTCTGCACTATCAACTCGGGGTCATTCTTCCTCGGTACACCACTTGGCCCCTTCCCAGCTCGGGTTAGTTAGATGGAGTGACGCCACCGTTCCACAGGTCCGCTGAGGTTCTGAGAGGCCCCAGTCTTTGAGAAGTGTGCACATAGCTGGGTTGAAACTCGGATCTGAAGTCTATCTTCTCGCTCCATGCTGTACCTACTCCAGGGAATTTGGGGAGTAGGGGTAATTAGGGTCCGTGCAATAGTCTGTGTCCTTCTGAGCAAGTCCTGAGGGTTTCTCTACAGTGGCTTCTCCACATTAAAGACTTGGGCAGTGTCCACTGTGGCTCCACCTGTCCATGTATCTGCAGCCCTAAGAAAGCACAGTGGAGTTGCGGGGTTCAGGAGTCCTGGTGCTGACCTCTTTTCCCCATTGTGAGTGGGGCAGACTTGAGCAGGCAAGGCTTCTTGTCTCCACCCAACTTCAAGTGTTCCCGCCTCCTCCAAGGCAGGCCTTGTGGGAGAGGGCCCCTGAGGGCAGACAGGAATTGAGCAGTGACTCTGTTTCTTAGAGTAGACCCACTCTGGACTCTGTGGTATCCTTTATGCTGAAAGAATGGTAGATGACTACTGTCACCATGGAACTTGGTGCAGTCACCTAGCCAATATGAATGGCGAACTGCTGATATTAATTGCTGATGTTTACTGGGTAACTACTGTCTGCCAAAAATTTGATTACATACTTTTAAGCATCTGTGCTTTATTTAACCCTCATCCACCCTACAAGTAATTATTTATGATCCCCATTTTGCAGAAGAGGAAACCTAGGCTTAGCAATGAGGTGACTCGCCCAGCATCCCACCGTGAGAAGTGGCACATCTGGGTCTGACTTAAGATTCGATTTTATTTTATTTTTTTAACAGTTGAAGTTTCAAAATCTTGGACTCCTGACAAATCTTATTTTACACATGCTAAAAAAAAAAAAGTCAAGTAGTTAAAAAAGGTTTTCAGTGAAAAATAAATCTCCTCTTCATTGTGGCCCCTGGGTTTTCTACCCAGAGGCAAGAAGTGTTAGGAGCCCTGGATTTATCTTTGCAGAGGTGAGCAGTGCCTGAGTCAGTCTCTGGCATGCACCTCCGCATCTTAATTACTAGTAGCCTGCTGAATTCATTGTTCTCTGTTACTTTTTCCTCATTTAACAAGCACTTCAGAGATCTGTGTCTCACTTTTTATGCAGATCTGTCATTCTTTTTAAGAACTGCACTGGCTTCCTTGAGCAGGCCTGACCCGCCCTCTGCTGAGGGTTTGTCCTGCTGGCTTCCAGCAGAGTCTGGCTCGAACCCCCATGGAGTGCTGCATTCAGGCTGGAAGGTTCTGGGTGGACTCAGGTTTCTTATCTTGCAGGGTCTTGGCTTTGGGAAGGGCTGCCACCACCTTCCAGTTCTCTCTGCCTGCAGCAGGACAGTTCTTTCCAGGGGCCAGCTTTCTTTAGGAGGCCACAATTGAGCGGGTTCCAACAGCTTGTCAGGCATTGTCCTCTTATAAATGTGACACTCCAAAGGGCTTGGCCCCACCGATGTCTCCTTGTGTGCCCCTTGTGGTGCTGGGCCTCCTGTCCTCCTGGCTTTCACGCTCCGTCTCCCTATTGCTGAAATGCCGCTCTGGGCCTAGTGACCTTCCCACCATCTCCTCGTGCTTCCTCAGGATCCCTCCCGATGCCCTGGCAAGGTTAGCTCCACTCGCGGCGTGTTGACGGGGACTCTCCCTTCCCATCATGATGACTTTCCGTTGCTCCATCGCAGACCACTCTGCGCTTCTTTCTGCTTCCTTTGAATCCCAGTTGGTCCTCAGGGTAGGTGCTCAGCTGTGGGTCACCTCGTGGAGTGGACGGTCAGATGGCGTCCAAGTCTCCCTGGGCCCCTGAGACTGCAGGCCCATCTTCTCCCTCCACTTGTGCTCCCCAGCTTCAGCCTGAACCCCTTGAGGTCCAGGATGGCCACTCACATAGAGGTGGCTCTATTTGTCACCATTTTTCCTGTAGGCAAGCTGTGATGGCAAGAAGCAGGAAAGAGTGCAATGGTCATAAGAACCTGAAGGCTGTTGGGAAGAGCTGGTCATCTCTATGGCACCACAGGGACAGCCTTGACTTGTCATTATTGCTTCGGGGCTACCTTGGTCATTTCCCCAGAATCAAGAGCCGGGGCAGAAGGAAGGAGGCCTTTTCCAGTCCAACATGATCTCCGGAGGCGTCTCTTCCTCTGCACTGTCAGAGGCGTGTCCTTGGGAATCTCAGGCTCTGCTCCCTTCTTTTCCAGTTGGCCTGGCTCTCTGGGGGGCGGGTGAGACCTCCCCTAGGCATCTGAGTACCCCAGGGACTCAAGGATCAAGCCAATGTGCTTATGTGGAACCTCAATTTCCTCTTTTGACAAGTGGGCATGAACATGGCACCAACCGTTTACGAGGGTCCCTAGGACACTGCCAGTGAATCAGGTACCAGACACATGACGAGGGCCCATCCCATTTTCATCTCTGAACTCCTGTGTCTGGTACTATGCTTGGCAAGTAGTAGGTGTTCAATAAATGTTTCACGATAACTTCATTTTCATAGAGCAGAGGATCACTGCAGAGATCCAATGATAATTAAGCAAAAGACAGGAGCAGGGACACAGTTTCTGCTCTAAATGTCATACTCTAAGCTCAGTTACTTATTTTAAGGAGAAGGAATTTGGGATTAAGGGTTGAATTTTTTTCCTTTTCTTTTTTTTTGAATATAGGTATTTTTAGGACTCTCATTATTTTTTTTCTCTGGTATAAGATGTGAATGAATGCTG